TTGAATAATGCTGTCAGGAAGCCGATTTCGTTGCTGGAGTTTATGAAGGGTTTGTAGGCGGGGGCCAAGGCGGTCTCTTTCTTTGGACTAGATATGGGGTTGTGATGAATATAATTGAGTCCGATTTCTACATTCATTCAAGTCTTGGTTGTCTACACATCGTCAGTACTTTGCTTTGCGTCAAGGTCGGGTATTAGAGTGATATCTGCGACACTCTGCATCTCTGACACGTCTAGGGCCGAGTAGAAATCCTGGACCGTTGATGATGGGCTCCAACACTCCTTCATGCAGCTTTCATTTGGCGTTGATTTTCTACCAGACCACAAGAAAGTAAAGTAACAGCTCATGTGTCCGCAAGATAGATCGCTCTTCGGACTGGCGTGCAAAGCTTTGAGGAGCGTATACGGTATACACAGCGTAGTCAGTGTAAGGCAGGTACGGCCGGACGCACGAGTATTCCGGTCTTGCCTGCCCAGCGTATGTATACCTTTATATACCCCCTCAATCCCAATCCTGTCACCATCCAGCAGGTGCCCGTCTAGGTCGACGGGTCAGGTCAAACTGGCTGGGTGGTGGAGTGGTTGATGGTCAACAATCAATCATCTACACCAACCAGCCTGCTCGACGACAGGCTTAGCGCATGCGATAGTATTCGAGTTCGAATCCAGGCATGAGCACCAAGAGATGTAGCCCTCAGTTCAGCATCGGGGGGGTGAACTCTTTTTGTCCCTCTTTCATAGGTATCTTGGTGATTGCGGCATTGTGGTGGGGGTTTTGAGCTTATATCTCAGGGTCACCACGAGAACAATTGGTTATTTCAGTCAACCAATAGTCAGTTAATATGATCGATCGACCGCCTGATTATCATTACTGTCAACGTTGAATCGATCATGAAGTGCAATTAATCATAGTCTCTCTGCCATCCTGTCCTGTGATCCACCACACTCATTCCACAATCCTCGATCTTCAACGATCCAGCCCCTTACACAGGCGGCCACTCCGGCCGACCAAAAGGACACAAGTCCGGTCCGCCCGCAGCAGCCTTGATGATATCCGCAGCCTTCTCGGCAACAGCATACACAGCAGCCTGAATATGCGCCCCCGGAACAAGCGGCATGATCCCGGCATCGACAACCCGCAGGTTGCACGTCCCGTACACCATCAGCTCCGCGTCCACGACCCCGCCCAGCTCCAGCGGCATCATGCTCGTCGTACCGCTGGGGTGATACTCGGTGCCGACGAGCGGCTTCAGCGCCGCCATGAGCTCCGTCTCGTCCGTCGAGTTCAAACGCGGATCCTCCACGATGGGCTGGAGAGGCGTCATTGCCTCCGTGCGCATGAGGCGTTGGATGAGTTGTAGGCCGAGACGGATGATTTTGCAGTCGAGAGGGTCGGCGCAATAACGAGGGTCAACCATGGGTCCGTCAAAGATTGAGGCTGAGCGGGGGCAGACGGTGCCGCGAGATAGGGGCTTCTGGTTGGCGATAGACATTTGGCCCCAGGAGGCGGCGAGGAGCTCGTAGGCGCCAACGTCCGGGCGGGCTAAGTGGGCGAGGACGAGGGTCTTTTGGCGGGTGTAGCCGGATTGTACCGTGGGTGGCGTGTCGAGCGGGAGAAAGGTGAAGGAGGACTGGTTTGCGGCGTGCTGGAGGAGGGGTTTCCATTCGGATGCGTGGTATTGGAGGCTTGGGAAGGCGACTGTGTTGATCAAGGGAGCAGTCAAAGGGCCTATTGGAAATGTTAGAGATGATGGTGTAAGTAGTTTTGAGAGTATTGACGTACCGGTGTGGTTTGTGACAAAGGTGGTGAGTGCATTGTCGAAGGCGGCGCCGGTGAGGTCGCGAGAAGTGAAAATGGATGAGTTGGAGTCTGTAGTTCGAGTCAGCTACATGGTCATCTTGCGAGGCAGTGAGAAGAATGACGACAGGACTCACAGTCGAATTCAAATTGGGCCATGGGATGATCCTGAAAGTTGTTTCCGACACCTGGCAGGTCGATCTGTACAGAGATATTCAATGACTCCAAGACTTTGCGGGGACCAATGCCCGAAACCTGAAGCAGCGTGGGCGACTGAATCGCGCCGGCAGCCAATATGACCTCCCTTTTGGTAGTAATTGTTCTGTTGATGCCAAGGGGCTCACATGAGAACTACAGACAGTTAGTCAATAGGTCGCCATGGATCCGAGACCCCATCATAGGAGAACGGATGATGACTTACATCAACCCCAATGACTCGACGACGGGTTCCCTCCTTGGCGAGCGAGCCGGGCAAGCCCACAATGAGACGCGTCGCGGTCTGCCCGGTAACGACGTGCAGGTTCGAACGCGAGATGGCCGGATCGAAGTAGCCTGTTCTTGCATCGGAGCGGGTCTGGTTGGTAGGAGACATGCTGGACGGGACCATCATGGCTCCTGTCGGGTCGCCCGTGTTAAGGTCGCCCGAGAGGTGGATGCCCATCTCTGATAGTCCGTGAATTACATGGTCTGTAGACAAGATCAGTACATTGAAACAGAGTATTTGGTAGGAGGACCATACCCGACGAGTTGTAAAAGTACTCCGGGTAGGCGACATTGATGGGTCCTTCTGTGCCATGAACCGACATATCTGGGTGAATGTTGAGGCGGTCCTGAGTATTTTGATCAACGTTCGTGGTATACGTCTCAACCTGTATGGCCCGTCAGTTTTGAAGTTCTTGTTCGTTCACTGCCATTTAAATGCGAATTCATCAAACTCACCTTCTTGAAATAGGGAAGAAGGCTCTTCCATCCCCATCCTCGATTTCCCAACTCCTCCCAAGCATCGAAGTCCGCTGCCGATCCTCTGGTCCAACACATGCCATTCGTGACGGAACCGCCGCCAATGACTCTGCCCTGGCTGATCCCGCGCGTCTTGCCATCAAGGAACGTCTGAGGAGCCGTCGTGACGCTCTTGCCGTATGGCGAGGGCGGTGTGAGGCCGATGTACCCGGGCGCGATGACCCTGCTCTCACGTCCGTCGAGCTCGCCAGATTCAATCACGAGGACAGTCGCTGTCGTATGGTCAGCTTTGTCGAGCCCCGCGCGCGGATGACGAGGAAGGAGAAGGACTTACTGTTCTTATCCTCGCTCAGGCGGTTGGCGACGACCAAGCCTGAGAGACCACCGCCGACGACAATGTAGTCATATTCTTCGAGGAGGAACTTGTCGATAGTCTCGTCGGTGATGTGCAGGGCGTTCGAAATGGGAAGCAATACCCAAGATAAGAATACCAGCAGCGCCAACGTCGAGTTCATCATGGTTGAAGTCGAAACGCGCTCTGGGCAATACTAAGAATAGAATCGTCGTCGTCAGGGCTCAAAAACGAATGCCCTTCCAAAGTGTATGAACACTAAAAAAAAAGATGATGAAGTCGAAATTATTGACAACGAATCAGCGAACGGAAAAAGGAAAAAAAGTCAAAAGCTTCCTGATGAATGAGAGTGAGAAAGAGCTCTTCCAAGTGAACGTCTTGATCAAACGAATGGACGCAAGGCTTAGTCGCCCGGCCTTGACGGTGTTGACGATGTATACGGACAATGAGAGAAGAGTGAAAGGAGGGAGTCACTGAGGACTCACCAGCGCATGACTAGGCACCAAAAGACTCGATCCCGTCAAGTATTATATCCATTCTACATTGCCAAACTCGTTTCTTCTGCCATTTTGATGATGTTTCTCGAGTACTCCACGCAGATATCTGGAGCACCTCAGTCCAGCGAGACACAAAGTGGCACGAGATCGTGTTGTAAGTGAGAGTTGCGGAGACCACCTCAACCTACGAGTTCGTATTCTTGGCGTTCCCTTACCCACAGCAATGTGTCTGAAAATACACTAGAACGCGTTGCAAGTCTTCTAGCTCGCAAGTCCTTATTCTTCGCCGTATTCCACAGCGTAGAGACTCATGGAAGACTGTTTTGCAGAGAGACTCAACTTTCTTATTCCGACAGCTGCCCCTCCTTCATCTGAAGTTGACTCAGCTCGCGCAATCAAACCGTCGATCTTCACAAGCCAACGGCTTTCACGGCGGGCTAATTCTTTGGCGTACCGTCCTGTTGGACATTTCAAATTTGTCGATGATGTTTGTTATATCTGACTCTGATCATTCGCTGTTTCATGCGCAAGACTCCAGCTGAAATCACTTGGAATCTCCGGCATCTTCGTAGATCCAGCTTCAATACTGGGGAGAGTCCCTCAGGGGATCGATTGAAAAGCAAAAACGGGCCCATCTAATCGGGCCATCCCCTCGGGTGGTGTTATGCCGATCATCAAGGAAGCCGGAGCCTGATGTAGAGCTGAATAGAGATCCCTGTAGCATGGCCAGCTTCAAGATTAAGACGATTCGGCGAAGCTACACTTCGAAATGATGGGCGAAGATAAACCTAGGAAAAGAAGTGCTGATACTCATACACGCACGACCCTCACGGCTTCAACGCTGAGGCGCTTCTTCGTTTTCTCAAATAAAAAGAAGATGGCTGTAGACCATTCTTAGATTCATCAAACTTAAAGTAGTACCAGATATTCGGGCGTTACCATAGCCCATGGTGCAAGTGCGAGCTTCTGTCATGCGATAAGTTGAGAGATAGACATCGGCGATGGCTAGAGCCTTTCGAAATCGCCAAGTCAACCATTGTCTCAATGCGGAAACGTGGATTGGACTTTGGCATTGTCTGTAGGTCTTGCAGGAGTTTGGATCATTTCCTTGAGAAGATTTTCAACGGTTGGATGGCAAATTTGGAAGGAAATACGCGGGAAGGAAGATATGCGAGGAGGTTACACGGAAGGGACAGTACCTAGGACGGCGCGGACGGACAGTTCCTTCGCAGTCGGACGATGGATGATCGGGAGAGGACCCACCTTTAGGCGTTTGGGCCAATAGAACGACACATGAAGTAATGTCACCTCTCCTCCTTCCAATCGTCCTGTGACGCAAGAAATGTTTCCATCGTTTACCTTACACCTCAGACTGTTATCTCCAAACTTGAAAGATGAGCATGTTGAGACGAACCATCACACGGAGACACGACGTCTTTCGCCGGAGCACGGCGGGCGCTGGCCGCTACCTACACCTTGCGCCCCCGTTCCTCCTAGACGATTACACGCCCCGTTACATGGCATTGACCTCCATCGATGAATCCAAAAAGCGATCAAAGGCCTACGCCCATCTCTCCAAGTGCAACCTCTGTCCGCGACTTTGCGGTGTCAATCGTTTCGAGACGACTGGAATGTGTCTGATTGGCAATGACACCAAGGTCAACGTGATTGCTCCGCATTTTGGTGAAGGTCTGGAGCAAACCTCTCCATCGCATCCAACGTCTTTTCTCAACCTCTCAGAGGTTCTGCGAGATCTTTTGGACTGACCATAATCTAATCTAGAACCTTGCGTCCAAGGCCACAATGGCAGTGCGCCGTATTCTTCTCGGGTTGCAATCTGCGTTGCGTATTCTGCCAAAATCATGACATTGCACATCAGCGCAACGGCCAAGACTTGACACCCGAGGAGCTGGGTGAATGGTACGTTAAGCTACAGCAAATCGGCCGTGTTCACAACATCAACCTCATCACCCCAGAACATGTTGTTCCCCAGGTTGTCCTCAGCATACTGCATGCGAAGGAGCTGGGCCTGCGAGTGCCAATCATCTACAATACCTCCAGCTTTGATTCGTTAGCGTCTTTGGAGCTGCTTGATGGCTTGGTAGACATCTATTTACCTGACTTCAAGGTATGGGAGTCGGCGACATCCAAGCGGTTGCTCAAGGCAGATGACTATGCCGCCACGGCTCGCGAAAGCATTAAAGCAATGCACAATCAGGTCGGTGACCTGTGCTTTACTGGAGATGGCATCGCCAAGAGCGGTCTCCTAGTTCGCCATCTTGTCATGCCCGGAAAGGAACAAGAGGGACATCGCATAATGCAGTTCTTGGCAGAGGAAGTTTCCAGAGATTGCTTCGTCAACATTATGGAGCAGTATCACCCAGACGCGCACGTTGGCAAGTCTAAGAGACGCAACAAAAAGAGCACCGACACCCAGGATGACGAGGTCCGCTATAGCGAAATCAACCGAGCCGTATCGGGAGACGAGGTGTCCTCGGTCCGAAAGGCTGCGGAAGCGGCTGGTCTTTGGCGGTTCTGCGATCCGCCTCGGCACGACGGCTTCAACATCTGAAAAGAAGTCCCTTACATCAAAAGGAACGATGGTAGGTGCTCTTACGACAGGTTTGAATTTGCTCCCTCAAAGAGAGAGGATGCCCCTGCACGGGTAGGACGGCCGCAGACGGCGATCCAGGCCTCTCTAGTAGGGATGCTCGTCTGGATTATACCAACAGCACGTCCGTTTTTATGACGGCGTCAACAACTACAGCTACGTGAGTGACGTGATTGTTTCGCTACCAATCGCATCAGTCCTGGCATAGTACCCTCTATAATCGTGTGGTCCTCATATTAATGTCTAGATCCACAATTGCGTTTCAGTAGCTCTTAAGCCGTTCATTCACCTCAAGTCTACGTTTGAGAACTATTGGGCTGACGAACATACAGGCCAAATTGCCCATATCTATTTGCCAGTGCAGGCAGATGGGCAGGTCTGCCATGCATACTTCATTAGCAAGCCGCATCTGCTGCGAATTCAGATATTGTTTGCAAGCACAGATCGCACCGGAGCTTCAACTGCGCCATCTTGTTTGCTGAATGCCTGCTCTCTCTCAGACGTACCAGGCTAAATCGGGATTTCCCTTGCTCACTGCATCTTTATTTCATCAAGTTCGATTAGAGCTTTCGGTCTCGGATATGGGGATGTCGCGACGAAGGGGCCTCGTACTTCTGAACCCCTAACCTACCCTTTGTCTCGAATTGGCCAGATCGGGACACAGTCGAAATCGACTCTCATCGGTTATAGCCTATATCTAATCGAACAGAACCAACTGTTCCCTCTCGAGAGACAATCTTGTCGACACCAGTACCGTTGTTTGTCTTCGCCCCTCATCATGAATCAGCATGTCGAAGCTCCAGTCTTCGTTCCTTCCAACATCAAGAATCAAGATTCTACAACATCGTCCAATGACTCGGCCTCGACCAACTCCCCAGACCTGTCATGCCTCAGAGGATCAGGAATGCTTTGTACTCCGGCAGTACCATCACCACTCCGGCCCGCCCTGAGACTCGGATGCCCGAATCCAAGAGCCAGTGTCAACACGACCACCAATCCGAATTCTGGATGGTCGGCTGCAGCATCACCGCTTTCTTTCGAACAGCTATACACGGAAAAGGCTTACCTGACGGCTTCTCTGAGCACGCAGGGCGAACGCGAGATCGACCTCATGCGAAAGCTGTCGACCCTTCAGGAGAATGTTGACAGCGGGTTGCCCTCTGACGAGCGCCGCAAGGCAAGAAAGAAGATAGCTCTGCTCAAGAGCAAGATCGTCGATGCCACGGCGCAAAAGAAGGTCATTCTCCTGCGGCTCGGCGATATCTACGTGGAGCTTCAGAGCCGCGGGGCCTGGATGCAGATACAACACGAACTCTACGAGAGAAGATACGCATGGTGGTCCGTCGATTCACCGAGTGTTTCCGCTTGTGCTACAACACCATCTGATGTTACATCGACGATACCGACGCCGCTGGACGCGTCCTCCCCGATCTTCTTTCCCGCGGGTTGCCATCCGGTCTACAACACGTGGGACGTGGCGGCGGCTCGTCTTGAAGGGCATGTGTATGAGGTGTATGATGCAAGACTAGCTGAATCGTGGGCCGATTTCGGTCAACCTCATGAGGTTCTCGCGGAAGACTTGGGGAATCATGGCTTACAATTTATCTTTGGTGGAATGGTAAAGGATTCGCGGCAGGGCGTCAACGAAGACCAGGACCAGGTATCAAGCGAGGAGACTAAACCTCTGATGCCAGGCAGAAGAAGTAGTCTACCTTCATTGAAAAGCCTCTGGCGAGGGGTTGGGGGGCTATGTAGACCAGGCGAACAGGAGAACGAGCCAGTATTGCAAGCCTATCAGAATTAACTACCTTACCTCAAGCATGGCTGTGCGGCAGACAGGCGCAAGTAGATGAGCCCAGCCTGTGTGTGCTTTTGGTGTTCTCATGTCTCATCCAGGGTGTAGGCAAGTAGATGGCAATTGCAATAAAGCAGGGTAGGGAATCTCTTTTACTATAATCATCAAATAAAGGGCCGCCTCCGAACTCCCCAATGTGCCAGACTTTTGTGTTTATTCCTGGCCATGAATATACCACAACCGTCACCAACTCATCCAGTCTCACTCATTCACCGCCGACCACCTGCCACCATGCCTCTATAACAAACAAATTTGTTTGATACTGTCACCAAGGCCCATGGCGTGGCGGGGAATGTCCTCGTTTGAATTGCCCCGCTCCCCTGGGTCCCGGGTTCGAGTCCCGGCTTTCTCTTGCAAAAATCCGAGCCTCATTTCACATGAGGTGTAGCTCGAATCTTTCGTAAGCCTCCTCTTGTAGGGAGGGGCTGAGCTTTTGTTATTTTTTCTTCCCCCGTTGCCAACTGCGAAAGCGAAGCTACCTCGTAGCATTCGTTCAGCTCGTGCGTGACAGACACTCCGCGGTAGCTAGCTAGCCCCTTACGCAAACTCTCCAAACTGGCCGTCGTCGAACCCCAGGTCTTGTGCGGATTTCCTGTTCTCCCTCTTCTTGTCTCGGATATTGGCAGCGCTCGGAGGCGGCGGCAATCCGAAGCTACCAGCACCACCGCTGCTCTTAGGCGCGCTCGGCGGCGGCGGAAGAGAGAACCCCTGCAACCCTCCCGCTCCTCCGCCGGGGATCTCGGACCCGGACTCGGTCCTCGCCCGGCGCCCAATCTTTGACCCGCCAAAGTTGATGGTGATGGTCTCGCCCTCCTTGAGACTGTAATCCTTATTCTTCTCCTCCTCGGCGCGCTTGCTATTCTCAGCAGCCTGCTTGGCGTGGCTGGCGTCCAGCAAACCCAAACTCTTCTGCGCCTCCTGCAGCGCGACGCCGAAGTCGAACGCCTCGCTGCGCTCCTCGAAGCCGACGCCCAGCACCGCCTTCCGGCCCTGCCCGTCCATGACGCGCACCGCGAAGAAGCGCGACGAGTCGAGCACAGGCTCGACGGCGTTGATGGAGGTGTAGGGCGCGGCGGCGAAGAGCTGGCCGTTGGAGGGGTCCTCGAGGACGATGTCGACCTTGATGTGGTTCTCTTTCGAGGTTATGCCTGCGGGTGCGCCGGGGGCCACGGGGACGACGGCGGAGCCTACGCCTACTGGAGTAGGGCGGGCGGCGGCGGTGGTCTCCCAGGCTGTTTCGAGAACGCGGAGGCGCGCGGTGAAGATTTGGCGGTCGGTCCAGCCGGCGGCGGTGTAGCCCTTGTTCGAGGTGAGGGGCGGGATGTTGTAGACGTGGGCGCCGGAGGCGATGAAGAGGATGCGCTGGATAGCGTCGGCTGGGAGGGGGTTGCCTGTTGTGGGATCGAGTTGTTCCATTGTGCTGTGTTCTTTGTGTGCTGAACAACTGTGATGGAGTTATAGATGAGGTGTTGATGGAGAGGAATATAGCTTCAACTACTGTCAGGGAGGGGTAAGAAGATGTGCTTGGGAGCTTTTACGGGTGTCTCGGTCTTGTAGAGGTAGAAGAAGCTTCATGATGGAGAGGGAAGAGAGAACGGGGTTGAATTGCTTGCTTGTATTCAGGGGAGGGGGGGAGATGAAGGCTTACAAGGACGGGAGCTTGATTAGCTGGGCATTGGGTAGTGTCAGTGTTTCGGGAGTGGAGGGGACCCCGCTGTCGGTAGTGGGATGCTTTCAGGGTGACGGCGACGATACAGGGCGATGAGACCGCTATTTCTGTGGTGTTGTAAGGACCCTGGACAGACGGGGGGCCTAGACGGAGGTGTGCACCTTGCGTACGGGCTCGGAGGGCGACTTGGAAGGCTCCGGAGTAGATAGATGGGTACTTGTAAGATACGTGTAGATAACGTGTGGCGTTATGTAGACCCATATCGGAGCTTCCGGTGGTGCACCTAAGAAGAGCCCCTCCTAATTACCCCGCCAAATCAGAGCCATCAATCCCTTTGGGCGTGGGCGCAACGGCAAGCTCCATTCGGTCACTCGTGGCCCGTAGGAATTGAGTCACTGCCTTTTGCCCAAAATTTCCCAGAGCTTCAACACCAAACCCCGCCATCGCGACTCTCAACTCAACGGCCCACCACCAACTTCGCACCGATTCCCCTCTAACCACACTACCAATATCCTACAATCTTCTCGGCGACCGCTGTCAGCAGCACTGACGACACCGAAACCAGCGCACGAGTTGCATGCTGCGCAGGGCCTTGCCCATCTTCCGAATCGAATCCTTCTTCACATACATCACCATGGCCACCGGCGACCTGACACGTGCGCTACCCCCTTTCTCTCTGCCTGACAATCTACTTGCGTTCAAACATGTCACGTTAAAGGAACCCAATACTGATAACGTGACTTTACAGCAGCTGGCGACAGCCAAAAGTCCTCCACCGACATCCCTATCCGTATCAAGACAAGTGATGCCATCGAGTACGGCACAACCCACTCTCAACGTCTATTCCAAGGCTAACCCCTCTTTCCCTACAGCATCGTCTCAACATATCACTCCCTACTCGAGGACCCAGACCTGACAAAACCCGTCGCCGCCATCGAGGCCCTCATCGCCCTCCTCAACGCCTCGGGCACAACCACCGTCTTCGAGACCCTCGACCTCGTCAAGCGCGCCTCAAACACCCTTCACGCATCCGTCAACAACCCCGTTCCCCTCCAGGCCGGCACCGACCTCTTCCTGCAGTACCTCGTCTCCTCGCTTAAGCAGCAAGAAGGCGCAAACGCATCCGCCTCGGCCGCCGCCGCCCCCTCCCCCTACCAGTCCTTCGAAGCCGTCCGCACCCACCTCCTCCGCAACGGCCGCCTCTTCGCCTCCCGCGCCATCGCCGCCCGCGACCGCATCGCCGACGCCGGCTGGCGCTTCGTCCGCGACGGCAAGGTCGTTCTCACCCACGGCGCCTCCCGCGCCGTCTCCGACTTGCTCTTCCGCGCCGCAGACCAGTCCGGCGACGGCGGTGTCCGCTTCAAGGTCGTCTACGTCCGCGACGAGCACCGCCCCGCCGAGTCGGACCGCGTCGTCAAGGAGCTCCGCGACAAGGGCATTCCCGTCGCCGAGATCGCCGAGCCCGCCGTCGCCCACGTCCTCGGCTTGCTGCGCCAGGTCCACATGGTCTTTGTCGGCGCCGAGGCCGTCACGCAGAACGGCGGTATCATCTCGCGGATGGGCACCTATCAGATCGCCAAGCTGGCAAAGCAGGCCGGTCTGCCCTTCTACGTTGCTGCCGAGTCCCACAAGTTTGTGCGCAAGGTGCCTCTGGACCAGCGGGATCTCGGTTTCCAGCAGCACGTCTTGGACTTCCGGACGGACGGTGCCAGCGAGCAGCCTGAGGATGCGGTGGACTACACTGTGAGTTTTTTTTTCACACCCATAATCCCACATTCCTCATTTTCAGACTTGATCATAATTGCTGACAAAATTGTCCTAAGCCCCCTGATTTCATTTCCAACCTCGTGACAGAAAATGGTGTCAAGTTACCCAGCTATGTGTTTGAGCAGCTCCTCGACATCTATGGTAGCTTGAACGGTTGACTCCCCCTACAAAACAACACATATATACCCGCCTAGGATTTTCAAATGTTTCAAAATTCGGAGACTCTCCACGATCGCAAATGATGAGAACGTGGGCCTTGATACCCACTTGGGGCCGGCCGCAGACATGCCGGGGTCCGGATTGTGGAGACGAAGAGAAGTCTCGCCGGCGATAGAGAGCGGCGTCTCAATGCCAGAGTCCGATGGCCAGGCGCATGGTAAGGGAATTGGCCGATCATGGCCGCCTGGTAAAAAATGCTCTTGGCAGCGGCAGGTAGTATGACCGTAAATCGGGCAGGTATAAGGTATCTGTCACTTGAATAGATGCAGGCGCCTTGCCGGAGAAACTGTCCTGCTGACAACGGGACGGGAGAGACTTGTCGGCAAGAAATGCCCTTTTTAGAACTCGAAATAGAGTGAGAAAGAAATAAAAGGTTCAAATTTCCAATCATTACTTGCTACCTGCGTTCACAGCGCATACGTGCAGTGTACACGGAATGAACTCTCACCAAATGACCTGCTCAGATATACGAGAATATGCAACCAAGACTCCTGCGAGGCGGACGTCTCGCACCGTACCCAAGGTACCTTACCTCACTTTACCTGACGCACTGCGCACGAACGGCCTCACGATGAGGCGGGCGGGCAAGGCAACCCTTCCCCCTCCCCTCCCCTCCCCTTCTCCTCACAGCCCGAGGTGTCTTCGCCCTGCACTCGTAATTTGTCCGTGATAGCTACTACCCCATAATACAACAAAAGACGGGGAAGGTCCAAGAAGGTGAAAAAGACCAAAGGGAGGGGAAACCGACCGACCCCCACGGCCTCTTGACGTCACAATTTCCAATGTGGGAACTGTCCACGCGCGCAGTATGACCTGCATACGCAGTACGCCCGACCAAGGGGTTTGCAGGAACTTTTTTTAATGGTCCGGGGTTGGGTTGGAAAAGGCGGGGATGGATGGATGAATGGATATTGGATGGATGGATGTCCGGCACCTCGTTCTTGTTCCCGAAAAACGATACGTAACTTGAAAGGTAGGTAAGGTACCCGAGACCTGAGGATGCGGGAGCTCGTGAGCGGCATCTTGGATCGTCAGTACTCAGCAGTGGCAAAGACCATCGTCGCGGTCAGCCAACGTAGGCTCTGATAAGGCTTTTCTTAGCGAATGTGAATCTTGATTGATGATATCCCGCTCAAGTCGGCGGAAGTCGCCTGGTTTGGCGAAAAGTAGTAGTACAGTGAAAACGTTTCTCGATGCCCAATCTCAAATCGAAGAAACGATAGCCAGGCCACCCATAACAAACCCAAAGTAAGAAACACGACACACCTAGATATGGAAAACCCGTGTGGATGCCCCTTGATTCCTTTTTTCGTTTCCCCCAATAATGCTCCTAGCAAGATGAGACAAGACCAACAAATACTCAAGCTTTTTGGGCAAATGCCAAGGGAATGGTGCGAACGAAGTTGAGTCGTTCTCGTGGCGAAAGCAGTGTTGGACTGATAGCCTTTACCAGAAGGGGTGTGATTAAGAGAGGTAATACTACATTAGTCGATGAAAACCAGCAAAATGAAAAGAAGGCAACTGCTTATTTGATATCCCTGACAAGTCTTGCGCCGCACCAGGCAAAGGGGTAGTTTCGTTGATACCAGTTGACACTACAAATTATCAGTATATAGTACCAAGACATCGCCTACACAGTAGCCGACTTACAATGATCTTCTGCCGGCGATGCGGGGATGCGTTGACCACGATCCTCCAAGCACAATGTTGTGCTTGCCATCGAAGAAGTCGGCTACAGCTCATAGTTAACAAGATTGACACTCTCGGGAAATGCAAGTTTCTTACCCGTGTACTGAGGGTATAGAGGCATAGGCTCGAACCCCTCATGGCGAGCAAGGGGCGTGCTGGTCCACTCCCAGACACCGCCGAGCTCACCCTGTCCCGCGAGGCGACCGCCGTCGGCCGTCACGGGAACCGGGTGCCAATGCTGCAAGCCGACATTGGCACCATCGAGGTCCGCGAATAGCTCCGATCGAACCTCCGCGGCCTCAAGCGACTTCTTCTTTGGTGGTGTTTCCTCGACTCCATCATTCGACAGGTGGCTAAAGTAGGGACGTCAGCCTCTGAGATCATTGAGATCAGCTAAATATTCAACTTACCCGTTGACTGCTGGTACCGTCCTGCCCAGCGTACGCTCAGCTTCCATCTTCTTCGAGTTATGAACGTAAGTGTAGATGCTTCGAGCCTCCTCAAACGTCGGGATTCGGCCTCCCATCCATGCTGCACATCCAGAGAGTTCATCGAAAGATGCGAAGATGGGCCAGTCCAGAGCATATTTCAGCGGAACCAAGCCATAAACCGTGCGGACTGCAATGCCGTCAAGGAATGAATCGGGGACGACACTATCCCCGTTCTGGTGTCCATTCACATGTCCATTTGTAGTGCCATTGACATGACCGTTTGTGTGGCCATTGACGTGACCGTTTGCATGCCCGTTGACCCCGTTGACATGACCATTTGTATTTCCATTGGTAAAATATGTTTGTCCATTCGCGTCAAGGACCGTGTCAGAATCGGGCTCTGCAGCTTGAACATCGGCCCATGATGCAGGAACCTTTTTGATGTGGTTTTCAAACATGTATTGCGCATACTATTCTGGTCAGCCTTGAACTGATCTCGCAGAATATCTAGTCACTCACCTCCTCATTTGTGATCGGTCGTCCTTGTGCCTGGAACGCATGAACATTGGCAACCCTTGCAGGTCTTTCGTTGTCCCTAGTACCACGTGAGTTGTGAATATACGTTTCAGAGAATCGTTGCT